TGAGGCTGGCTTTGTACTCGCCATCCTCCTGCCTCAGCCTCCCGAGCCACTGGGATTACAGGTGTGCGCCACCATGCCCGGTTCAAGCCGCAATCTAAAGGGGACAGAAAGGAACTAACTGGGGAGCAACTTAACAAAAAAGTTAATACTAGGTCCATACATTCTAGAGACTACTGGATGTATAATAACTTGGTGAAGGGGTATATGACAAACTTTTATTTGACATTAATTAATTCCATTTATTACTGTTGTCAAGCTGCCTAAAAAATGACATGYTAAGCTGCCAAATTAGGACTTTGGCAGGTATGGTGGTATGGACCTGCAATGCCAGCACCTCAGGAGGCTAAGGCAGCAGGATTTCAAGTTCAAGGTCAGCTTCAGCAAGTTAGCAAGACTCTGTATCAATAAAAGAGCTGGGAACATCTCTCAGTGGTACAGCACTCTGGGGTTCAATCCTCAGTATTGYCTGACTCCCACCTCTAATTATGCTAATGAAAATTACACTGATGGTTCATCCATGGCATGAAAATGTCTACAAGCAAGTGAAGAACTTTTTCCTGGGATCTGAGATTTAAACAGTGAATCACTCATCATTGTTAAAATGACCCCAACTGATAATTTTTCTATGAGTGTATGTGTATTTAAATTTGTATGCTTTACTTCCTACTAAAAAGTGTGAGGCAGTTCTGCTATAATGTAAAGGTAGCTATAATATCCAAGATAGAACACTCCCTACTCAAGAAATTACATGAACACTTGAGAGAAGTTCCTATTATAAAGGCAGTCAAAGACTAGTATAGCTCACATTTCCCAGCTGTTGAGGCTCAAAACTCAGCAATTGTACTCCCAAAAGATAATTTGCCCCTCAATCCCAGCACACAAAAGGTAGTCCAAACAGAAYATTCATGAAAACTTGAATAGGAAGGTAGAGAAGGAACTCAACAGCAGGATTCTAACTCTCTGGAGACCACACACCATTGTCTTCCTGATCCGTACTAAATAACAACAATCCAGTGCTCTGAGATAGAAGAAGGCTGGTATGAAAGGGAAATTACTGGCTGCAAGTGGCAGAAAAGTCYATAATCTTAAATATAACTTAAAATAGAATCTGATAATTTGCTACTTGACAGTCACAAAGGCATTTAACTGGACAGAATTTCAGAGTCATTTGTAAGATTAAAGCAGTGTACCAATTTTAGTACTAACATTCTTGGTTTWAAAAAAAATGAAGACAACATATGAAAGCACCCTCCTTTTCTGGATTACAGTAAAATTCAAAGGAGAGAGACATTCTGATTCTGCAGATAAAATACAAATTGACAGGGGAAAGAACAATCAGCAAGTACCACTTGGATACATGTTGTCAGAGGGCAAGAAAAATAAAATTCAGTTGAGGAATATAAAAGATTTAACAAAGTAAAGCATATGAAGAAAATGGGCAATAATTTGATTGATTTAAACATCAATGCCTTAGATCAGAGTTAAGAGGAAAGATCCCTGGTTGCTTATACCCATGGATTAGTGAGTTATCTAGAGATACTCTGGAGGCTGGGGCTCAGTGGTAGAGTGCTTACCTAGTGTGCAAAAGGCCCTGGGTYTCTCCCCAGCACTGGGGTGGCAGGGGGGGATACTTGGGGAGATGGCTCAGAAGGGGACAAATAGGAATGTTCATCTTTAAACCAAAGACTGTACATAAAGACAAATTTTAAGTACAGTGAAGATTGTCTTGTGTTACTTTATATCTATAAGATCAAAAGGATGCCTAATACAGAATAAATGCTCAAACTATTTAGTAATTTTTTAAAATGATAGATTTTCAAGATCTATAAGGGCAGCTTTTGGAAGAGGTAGAAAATCAACTGGGTATATACTTTCTTTTATTTGATTTCAACCAGCAAGAGACTAGACTGATTGTTTTTCACTTTTAAAGTCTTAGTCTTAACCAAAACTTACAACAAAGGCATAAATAAAGTGAAATTAAAATAATTTTAACAAAGGAGAAAATTTGAAGATGTTCAAAGATGGATCAAATAAAATAGCAWATGGTTTAAGGTAAAAAATATAACTAGATATTAAATAATTTGCAAATATAGACTCAGAATACAGAGTAAGAGTACATAAATGGAATACTTAGCATTTAAGAAAAATCAGGCAGATTTTTTTCTGGCAAAGTGACAGGTCCTGAGAACAACTAAGCCCACACATTAAGCCCAATTGGAGGCCAGAACCATATCCTAGTCATCTTTTTATTATTCAATATCTGTCACAGTGGCTGGATAAACATAGGTATCAATAAGTGTTCACTGACTGAATGTATACTATAATTGGCATGGTTCAGACCTTACCAGGAAAGCTTCTTTAAACAGGATGAAAGAGCACAATTCAGTGGTATTCCAAAAGACTGGCCCAAATCCAGATTTATTTTCTAACTTGGGTATAAAGACTTTTCAATTTTTATTCTTAAAAAAGCAATCAAACTCTTTTTTGAAATCTCAGACAGAACTCCAATATAAAATAAGCTGCCACTGATTGAACCAAAGTCAGTGGGAACAGCATTAGCCTCTACACCCTAAGCCAGCCTCACAGCGTCTTTGTGGAGCTGCTGGGAAAATCCCAACTCATTTTAGAACTGGGTTAGCAGCATGGCGATCCAGTTCCCAGGGTGTTACAGTGCAGATACCACCAGTACCATGGAGAATAAATTCTAAATAATATTGCTGATTAAATAAGGACAATTCAAAAGAGAGGAGACCCTATCATTTGGAATAAAAACCATCTCTATAAAGGAAAAAAAAAAAGGAACAAAAATTAGGCCACAGTAGAAAAAATATAATGCAAAAATCAGTATCTCATTAAAAAGCAAATATGATCATTAAACATTCATACAAAAGAAATCACTGTGCTGAAGTTGAATGCTCAATAGTATAACTGCTCAATACAATAGGTGTCTCCAGAGTTCAGTCCCAGTTCCAGGCTGTACAGAAAAAAATCCCACCTGAAATATGGAGATGTGCCCCACTACTGAAATGCCATAGTTGGCACTACTTCATTTTACTACACATCAATGCAAGATCAACTGCCAGGACCTTCTACCACATTCAAAGCTGTTCTCAGCTTCCAGATCTGTTGCCTAACATTAGTACAAGTCCTCCTGCATGTAAAAACTTCCCAAAAGGGTAGACACTCCACAGACATTACCTCCAGCAGGCCTGACAGTGGTTAATAACTGGGACATTTACTCTAATCACAAGATAGGCCAAAGTAATAATTAGCTGGCAGTTGGAAGTCTGGAAACAAGCAGCAGGTCACTATGTTGGTGAAAAATTGCAAAGAAAGCATTGGTGGATTAAGTGGTATTGACCTGGTGCAAACAAGATTTTTATAGCAAGATCTGAGAAAGAAGATGTAAGTGATAATGACACAAAGCAGTCTATCACAAAATAAGGCCACCTTCAACATATTATAAACTGTAGAACCATTCTGATCTTCAAGTTTGGATTTGTGTAGAGGTTTCTGTATAAAGAATTAACACCTAAGAGTGAGTCTCCTTTAGAATGAGCCTTTGCACTTGATGGTGTTCTCTTCACCAGGAGTGCTTATCTCCCTTGATTCTTCACATGGTTTGGTCCTTCTAGGTCAGGTATTAGCTTGAACATCACTTCCTTAGAGGCTTTCCCGATGTCCTACCTGAAGCATCCCATCTGTTATTCTCTAGCACAGTACCCTGTTTATCTCCTTCACAGACAGGATGATTACAGGTTAGAATAACTGCTGTCTCAGCAAAGGCAGGAACTGTAGCTGTCTTGTTCACCTTTACTCAAAGGCTAAGAAAGTTCCTGGCACATAACAGGTGAACAATAAATATTTGTTGAATGAGTAAAAAAATTACTATAGCAAATTTTACATGAACACATACATATACACAAATATATAGGAAAATGGGGGAGTATCCAATAGAAAACAACCAAATGCTGAAAGTATCGAAAACGATACCTGTACATACAGGTGAATATGGTCTCAAAGAACAAGTACCAAAGGTATCTATCTTCAAAAATATGAAAATTTACGAAAAAAGGATCAGGAGTGGTATTTTCCATTTCTATTAAGATGCAAACAAGAAGAAACGTTTACATTGCAATGAGTCAACATTAGACATAATAATAACTTGCTGCAGAATGGACTCCCAACAGAGCTGCTGGAATCTCCTCTCACTGTAGAGCATAAAATATGGTCAACCACATACCCAGGATTAGTTAAGATCAGCTCAGACTACAGGTTATAAGCTAAAAAACTTGCTAAACAGTTTCTCCCCCAATTTTAAAAATTCTGAATTCGTAATTATGTAAAATAACATTCAATTTATAAATTGAATACAACATACTTTAAAAACAGATGGCCCTTAACTGCTGATCATACCTCAGCATCACTTTTCTAGGTATTTTGCAGAAGCAATTACATTTACAAAAGGTCCGTTTCATAATACAATCTGGTAAGTAAGTCAAATGAAGCTACTTAAATCAAAGAGCAGAAGGCCTGCTGCTGAAATATTTTAAAATACCTTTTAAAAAATGGTATTTATATTTATAGATTGGCTTTAAAAAGGATAAATATACTGAAGTAATTCTAGCATATCCCTGAAAACAATTATACTGCCACTTGTGCATTCGTTATGAGAATACGGAAGGTTAAATCAATACACTGATAGGTTACACAAGTCAATTATTATCTGTTGAAATCTGGTTCTAAGACAAGGGAACTTACTCTGCATGAACTTTTACTGGACCCAGAATTAACTGGTGCCAGCAGTGTCAGCACAATTGGCAATGATGTCACGCTGCACTGTTTTGGTATCAGAACAAAAGTGGGATGAAGAAAAGAGGCTTGGAAAGGTTTTCAGTATGGTTTCCTTATAATGAGATTTAGCAGAAAATAAACAAACATAAAAAGAATGACTGTTAAGCCCCACTGAACACATTAAAATCATGGATTTCAAAAGTTAATCCACTTTTCTTCCCCCAAGAGTTTATTTTTGGTAAAAGGCAGAAAAATTAGTTTTTTCCACAAGGAAAATCTGCTTCTAGATGATAATTTGAAAATCTTGATATATATTATATATTAAAAAAGACACAAAAATAACGGAGAAGTGGGAATAACAGATTAGGTACTGTAACTTTATAAAGGCTTGCCTAGATCATGAAGCAGCACACACACACCTCATTTATGCAAACTAAAATGTATATAAACGGCACAATACTGCGATACTGGGTCATGATACATTACCTGTACACATAACTACTACTGTTRTTAATAAACCTTTGGGACACTCAGTCTTATGCCCAACAAGATACCATTAAGTCTTTAAATCTTCTTTTCCCCCTTAATGGGAAGACACTTCTAGACACTAATTTTCCCATCTAATATTCAAATATAGGAAACAGATTTTCCACAAGGTGCTTTAACTGATGAGACCTCAAGTGCTGTTTTCTCTCTGGAATTTTTGGATAGCAAAGTCCATCGGGACCATACACAAATACTATGACAGAAGAGYTGTTACATTAAGTCTTTTGATGGGACTCAGTTGGTGATGAGCTTTATGACATGCTTGAGCAACGCACTGAAGGGGATCCCATCTGAGTTAATACTTTGTCCAACCACTGTAGAGGTCCATTCAGATGAAGTTCAATCCAGCAAGGAGTACTTGTTACCGTCTGTCTTCTGTTTGAAAGAATACAAGAAAATAATCATGAAATTAAGAGAACAACATGGCTATATTTAGGAATCTGCATTAAGAATTCAGAGAAATTTAAATGCTGTATTAGCCAGGTATGGTGGTACACACTTATAGTCCCAGAAAGCTGAAGTGGGTGTGGTCACTTAAACCCAGGACTTAAGACCAACCTGGGCAATATAATGAGACCCTGTACCCACCCATGACATGCCCATGCCCGCCCCCCGCCAAAAAAAACCAAAAGTAACCCTCTATATACTAAAATCTAACTCCTTTTTTGGATGATTTTGAATATGATTATTATTTGGAAAAATGGATGATTTTCAAAGTATTGCAATGATTTTTTTTCTTTTTGAGAGATTTTTAAAAAACATTCTTTTCTGAAATTAAAATTAGTATGTTGTTTGCAGGCACMTGGATGAAGCTGGAGAATATCATGCTAAKCAAAATAAGCCAATCTCCCAAATCCAAAGGCCAAATGTTTTCTCCRATATGTGGATGCTAATTCACARTAAGGGGAGGGTAGAGGAAAACAGAGGTACTTTGAATTGGGCAGAGGGGAGTGAAGGGAGGGGAGGAAGTGTGGGGTAATAAAGGATAGTAGAATGAATCAGACATTAYTACCGTATTTACATAAATAATGACATAACTGATGTGATTATACATCATGTACAATCAGAAAAATGAAAAATTATACTCCATGTTAGAACAACAACAAAAAATTTAGCATAGTGACTTCCCAAGAGGAGAGATATGAACTAGGAAAGACTTCCCCAAACTGAGAAATGTGGAAACCTTACACATTAAATCAATCAGACTAGTAGACACTCAAATATTGAATGGAATTTAAATGAAACAGCGTTCAAATTTAAAATATATCAAAACAAAACAGATTTCCCTCCTTTTGGTATCAGGGATTGAACCCAGGGTGCTTAATCACTGAGCCACATCCCCAGCCCTTTTTATTTTGAGATAGGGTCTTACTAAGTTGCTGAGGCTGGCTTTGAATTCTCAATCCTCCTGCCTCATTTCAAGTCACTGGGATTATAGGCATGAACCACCACGCCCAGTATCAAAATAGAATTTTGACCCAAACAAAATTCTCACCACAGAAGACTAAGTTCAACTTTCTCTGAAAGAGCCAGTGAACAACATCCCTTTGGCAACATCACTGAGGCTTTTGCTTAAACACCACCTCTAGTACTTCAACAAAAAGGGCTACTCCCTGGGAATCACAAATCATTCAATGACATCCTGTCTCTTCTAAAGAACTCATTTTAAGTTCTTTCTTATTCACTATATAGAATAAGTCAACAAAGCTACTTTTGCTTTTTTTTAACATAATGGCCCTTTAAACATGACACAAGTCCATTATCAACTCTTCATCTCCAAACTTTAAAGTCTGATTCACTCAACATTGATTTGGTATTCTCATTCTGGTACATATGMTGGTGGGAAAAGTATACAAACTATGCCTTTAAGCTTTCCAAAGTGGAATTTGAAAAAATTTTTAAATGTTTACATTTTAATGAGTTCATTCATAGAAAGGAAAGACGAAGGCAGTGCTTCTAGGCACCAGAGTAAACACACTGTCAATCTGTCATTCTGAAAAAGAAATATGCCTAACATTGTTGAAAACTATTTCCAAGGATGTGACTTTCTGTAGCAGATGGCATCAGTGCCCCACTCTACCTTCAGATTTTTAGTGTGCTCTAGCCAATTTCCAACTGTAGGTTTATGAATTTCTATGCCTGAGAACTTCCATGCTATGCCTGTAGTGCCAGGAAACTGGCATCAGCTGACATGGGTAACTAATGAGAACTACTTATTCAATGGTCTCAACTAATTTGTCCAGTTTTATTTTTCTCTACTCTCTAAACTCCACACCAAATTGCTACTCTGTTGTCAGGATTACAGTTTTCCACACCACCCATCCCCAACTACTGAAATCTTATGCACCTTTATCTCTATCAGAAAGCCTTCTATGAGCCCCACAATTCTCCTTTTATGAACTGAAACAATCCTTCAGGTATACCCCTTTTATAATATTTAACTCTCTGCATTATGTTAAAATGCATGGCTGCATATTTTAATCATATCTTCTCTATAATGCCAGCATACTAATTTGCAACAGTTTTGATCTAGAAACCCTCACCTTCACTGTTTTACAAAAAGATCTGATGACTCCACACCTCAATGAAAATAGATATAAATGAAGATCCAAAATAATGGAATAAAAAATAATTACAATATAGAAATGTAGGAAACAAATATGTATTTCTTACCGATATTCTGCTCCCCATCCTTTCACAAAACTCATTCTTATGGTGCACATTCTAGTTAATTGGTACACGGCTTCAAAACCCTGATTAACAGACTGAGCCAGAAGAGCAGCAAATTCCTGGTTGTTGAAGATCTTCAGGTTACAGCCTAGGGATTGAGAAAAAGTATAACTGTAAAAACTGTATTGTTCTTAGAAAACAATTTTAAAAGGACAATAAGGTTTCATTTAGAACATGAGCATGCAAAGCATCACCTGATTCCTAAAATTATTAGCAACTACAAAAACTAAGCAAGTTGATGTGACAGGTTTATTTACATTGTTGAGTCCATACCTGGTGGAATTTTACACACTGTTGCAGGGTGCCAGCCGTATCTCTGATTACAATTGGGGCTCTGCACAAAGATTGCACTATCACTTAGGCACTCAGCAAAAACTTCCCCACCTATGTAATATAAGCGCACTCCTCTTCCTAAAACAAAATACATATGGGGTTAGTCTTATAACACTTAACTATTTCAGTGTGACTTTGGGAGAGTCTTCTTGGAAAATTTTTGAAATGATATAAGGTATTGCATGACTTTTTTTTTTCACAGCCATGTTTTTCTGAATTCTAACTTTGAAATATACCACTGTATAATTTTTAAAGTATTTTTTAACAATGTTTTTAAATATGTATTTATAAAAAATACATAAACTACGTAAAAAAAAGTACAAGGATAATTCAATAGTTTCATACAAATTATGCATTACTTTGAAATCAGTAAAAGTAACTGAGTTAACTTCAAAGGAATTAACATACTTGGACAAATATTTCTTTATTAGTAGTAGTATTTCCTTATAGATCCCACTAAGGTTTAAAAAAAAGATTAAAAAAAATCAAAGTTAAACATATATATATATATATATATATATATATTTTGGTGGCAACCAAATCTCTAAATATATAAGCAGAATTAGGTAAGAAAAATTATATTGGCTATTTTAATAATTCTTTCTGAATTTGACCAAAGACACGGTTGCTACTGAGAGATTTTGTCAGATATAATTAAGGCAGAAATCAACTGACTTTAAGAAATGGAGATTATCTTTGTTATACAGCAAGAAAACTAATAAGATAACCAACAAACCAGATTTAACAAATGCAAAAATTAGTATTTATTCTATTAAGAGACTATTCTATTATTAATAAGACTATGGAATATTTGTGAAGCAGTCAATCATGTTTTCAGGAAACATTAAATCTCCAAAGTGGATTTTTCAGGCTATATTCTCCGATATATATGTATTCTCTGGTCATATGATAAGTTAGAAATCAAAAGTAAAAAGATGATCTGAAATTGAAGCAAAAATTTTATTTGGAGAAAAGAAAAGGGTAGATGCAAATAAAAGTATAGGTGGGAACTAAGGGCTCCTCACTTGCAATGACACCTGGAYACTTTAACAAGAATATCCAAATTTATATGTCAAGCAAGATTTGCCATGTTAAGTCAAGTAACAGAACCCCTAGGCACTACCATTTTACAGTTATCAATCACTATGGTAAATCAGCATTATTTCTTTAAGGATGTGATTTAATTCAAACAAAACAAAAATAAACTGCCTTTTGTCAAAAGAAGCTACCTTAAGGTAATAAGAATACTTCTCAATTATTAGTGGCTTTCAATATTTTTGACCTTATTATTAAAAAAAAAATACTGAGGACCCCAAAGGGTTTTTTTGTACGTGTGGATTATATTTGTAGAAACTTATCACATTATATGTTAAAATAAGATTTTTTTAAGTACTCATTTAAAAGTCAATCCTATAACTTATTAATGTAAATAATAAGTATATAAAAAAGAACTATATTTCCAAAACCACAAAACAAATATGAAGAGCAGCAATGTTTCACAGTTTTGCAAATTTCTTTAATGTTTGACTTAACAGAAGAGATGAATTCTCATAACATATCTCATATCTTGCAAAACTTTATACTTTGAAGCCTCTGGGATAATTCAGTGTACATTTCTGAGAGGATGAGAGTGAAAAATGGCAAGTAACATCTCTGCACCATTATGAAACACTTGTTACCTCACAAACTTACTGAAAGAGTGTCTGGTACTGCTAGACCCCCAGACCACATTTTAAGACACTCTGAATAATATTTTGAACCATATTAAATGTCAGTTCTTGTCTTAGAGATCTAGCCTCAGATTAATAGTGAGAAAGATCTGGTTTGATATATGAAGTCATAGAAGGAGCAAAAACAAAACAAGATATCAACAATGAAAACCCAGGAGATATAAATTGGAGGGAAAAAAATCATGATTTATAAAAATCAGAACCCAAAAATCTGAACATAACAATTTCATGACTGGCGAAGATTCAGAAAGTTACAATTATTTTTAACACATGTTTAATGAAGGACTTCCTCGTATCAAGGTTGCCAAATAAAGAGAAAGTCAAAGCAGAGTTTGTAGAATGAAGACTCAACCAAGACTAATAGAAGTGAGGCATATGAACTTAAAGAGTGGAGAGAAGGATGGCATTTTCACACTGAGGTTCTTGATGTTGTAACCACATAAGGTCCATATGAACATACAGCACTGTTTTTTTCACACAAGGAAAATAAAACATACCTATATGCCTTCTTGTCATTTCTACTGTRGCATTTCGGTTAACATTAGAGAGCAAACCTAAGCAGAACCTCTCTGAATTTGATGGGTCTGTAAAGCCATCTACAGTGAGCGAGGGCTGTGATGCATGGAAAGTCTCTCCAACCCTCTGGTTTAATTCATAATATGCTATTGAACACCAAAACGCAGGTTCTGAGTAAGTAACTGGCTGCAAATCTGGGGAAAAAAAGAAATAAGTAAAAGGAAGAAATGTTGTACCAACAATTCAAACACAAACTTCATCATCATCTTCATATGCTCTATGCCAACATCAACTCTATGCCAGTTCAAGAGGTAGAAGTGCTATCTCTATTGGTTTCCATACCAGATTTTCCATTTTTCAAATTTCCCCATCTCATGAGGTCACTTATGTTAGATTATTTATTAGTAGTTTTAGCCTATTTCCTGTTCAAACATAAAACAACCACAGTCAAAAGTAAGTCAACTCACCATACTTGGTGCATTTCTGATAATGCACAATGAAGGTAATTTTTGGTAGACTAAGTAGAATAAAGCTKGTGCAACATTAATGAATCAAGGGCCACAAGAAAATGTGTCATAACAAAAGGATACAAAGTATGACATTTTTAGACATTTGTCTATTTTCACACAAGGTTCTTGACAAGTTATCTTTGTTACACTAGAAAACTCATGCAGCACATATAAGAAAGTAATAAAACAGTATTGAAGTGGAAACAGAATATGCCTGCAAGAGACCACTTTTCACAAGAAAATAAGGATCACATGTACTTCTGTAATTTTGACTAAAACATATCACAAGAAATACTATGAAAAAAAAATGACAATTTTGTAGAATAAATTCCAAATATRTAGCAGCTGAAGAGGAACTGTCAAGTGGCAAGGCAAAGTGGAGGCCAAAAATAAAGACATGTATACACACTCTCACTCATATATACCCTTCCATATGTTTTATGTACTCATCATACACAATCTTATATTAGTTGATGCTACAAGATATATCAAACATATCCGTAGAAATATATCCATAACAGGCTAAAAATTTTTCCATAAAGAACATTTCCATGAATAAAAGAATATATTTGATATATTCTTTAAAATTTTCAATAATATTGAGACCCATTATCAATTTTTTAAAGTAGTCTTTAAAACCATTTGCCGAATTATTTTATTCATTGGTATTCTTATACATGAAAAGTAATTTTCAGAGTGAACTTTTCTTAAGTGATAAAACAGAGGGGGAAAGAAGTGGTAACTTACCCAGGCTATGATTAACAGGGGAGAGAGTAGTAGGAGACAGTTCTGCTGGAGAGCCTAAAACAAAAAGAATCAATTTAAAAATAGATATTTAAGTGTTCCTAGAACTGTTGATTCTGATCAAGTACAAAAACCCCAGTTGTATCTGGCTGTAATTATCACCAATAATACACAGATAATTAAATCCCCAGAATTCAAAATATATTAACRATTTTATTTTAGTTTAATTTGTGAGCTTCAATATATAAAAGACACAAAATCATATAAACACTATTGGCTTATTATCTGGTTTCCCCTTCCAGAAGAATCCACTATTAACAATTTGTGTACTTTGCAAAAATAGTCTATGAGTCATAAGTAAATTTATTTTTCTTCTGTGCCTCCTCTTTTCATACACAAATAGCTCAGTTCTGAACTTCTAGACTACTCTCAGAAACTTCATATTAGTGTTTCCTTATCATTTACTTGTCTATTTACCTATGCATCAGCACTATAAATTTACATCATGATCCTATATTTAGAGATATTCAGGCTACTCTTGATTTTTCAAACATTTTGTGTACTTCCAATCACATCTGAAGTATATTCTGGTTTAAACATTTTTGTCKTTGATAATATTTTGTAAAATTATCATTCACAGAATTTATACCAAATTACATTTCCAGTAAAAATACAAATGGTGAGGAGATATTATGATGATACTGTTGATACATGAAAACATGGTATTTAACTACAATTTTAATTCACATAATTCTTCTTATTAACACTGAGGAGCGTTATGTTTATTTATATTGTATTTCCTTTCTGTGAACAGTCTTTTTTCTTAGCTCATTTTTCTGTAAATATTGGTCATTTTTCTTACTTATTATACAGGCTCTTCAAGTATTAGAGATATTAGTCTCTTCATGGTAAGGTTTGCAAATATTTGTTCACCTGTTTCATGACTCAATTCTAATTTTGAGCATGCAGCATTAAAAAAGTCCTTTTACATATGATTTGCCAATCATTTGGGTGTTTGTCTTACTTTTGACTTTAAGGTACTGCTTTTAGTGTTTTCCTACTAAGCATGATACAAGACTTGATGCTAAGAAAGATAATTACTCAGGATTTTGGTATCGATAGCCTCAAGCAATACAGGTGTAGATTGCCATATCTGTAAGGTTTTGTAATCATTATTTTGACAATCTACAAGTTTTGTCTTTTTCTATGCTCTGCAACAGTTTAAAAATTGTGTTATAAAATCACATTCTTTAAAAGTTTGGTAAATTCCCTCATGAAACTGTTTGCAGTTAACAATTTTCTGGAAATTACTCTGAGACATTTCTCTATTTCTCCCATGGACGTTGATTTAAGATAGCTGTTTCTTGGAATTAGTTTTGTTAAATTACATTTTCTGAGGAAATTATCTGATTCTTTGTGTTTTAACAAGTTAGATCTAATCAAAAAGAGGGCACAAATACACAAAATAAGAAAAAASAATGAACAAACTCTAGATAAGAAAGAAAAAAAAATCACTGAAATGACATTACTCAATTTCATGTGACTTTTAAAACATATTTTTTGAAAATGCTAAATAATGCTATTATGATTATAAATATAGAATCAATTTCGTTTATGATCATCATTCTCTATATTTAGGCAAAGTTACCTTGAAGAACATGAGATCTCCCAAGCTTAAAATGCATGTGGGAGATGGTAGCTTCATGCAGTCCACTCCACCACACACCACCATAACCACAACACAAAGGGAAGGCCACAAAGGAGAAATGGCAGCCCCCAAATAAAGAGACACATCAGAAGAACAGATGATGACAGTATTTTAGAACCCAGAATAGCTTTCCTCCATAAGTTACATTCTTTATTATTCCTCAGCCTGAAAAATCTGCTGGCAAGTCACAACAGGTACAACTAAGAAAGGTCAAAATACATTTAGAACAATGAACTAAAATTCAGTGCTATTTCCTGAAGCAGACATAAGATAAACAAACTATCAGAAATGGAGGAAATTGCCATATTTCTTAACTGTTTACTCTTCTATTAAATACTTATTTGAAATGACCAGTAGCGTCACAGTTCATTAATTTGGACTAATTAAGAGTTTAGTCAGATTCTTTACAGAACTAGGAAAAGTGGTCCTAAAATTCAGATAGAAAAATAAAAGGCCTAGAATAGCCAAAGCAGTATTGAGCAAGCAGAGCAGTACTGGAGGCATTACAATACCTGATCTCAAATGATTCTACAAAGCTACAGTAACAGAGACAGCATGATATTGACCACAAAACAGACAGGAAGACCAATGGAATAGAAGACAGAGACAAACCCACACAGATACAGTTATCTGATATTTGACAAAGATACCAAAAACATACACTGGAGAAAAGACAGCCTTTCAGCAAAAAGTRCTGGAAAAACTGGATATACATACGTAGAAGAATAAAACTAGATCCCAACTTTCACCCAGCACAAAAGTCAACTCAAATCAAAGACCTAAAAATTTGTAACTGCTGGAAGAAAACATAGGCTCAACAGTAACGGCAGTTTCCTCTGTTCTAATAGTTCCTTCCATTTCTAATAGTTAGGGAACCTCTTTAAGACCTCTAAAGCTCAAGAAATAAAACTAAGGCTCAATAAGTGGGAYAATATCAAATTAAAAAGCTTTTGCACAGCARAGGCATTAAGAGTATGAAGAGAGAGCCCATAGAACGAGAAGAAATTTTTGACAGCTAAACAAATTTTTGACAGGTGACTCCTCTAACAGGGAATCAACATCCAGAATATATCAAGAATTCAAAAAACACCAGAGCAGCAAATAATCCAATCAATAAACAGGCAAAAGAGCTAAACATACATTTCTCAAAGGACTAAATACAAATGGCCAACAAATAAATGAAAAAATGTTCAATATTCCTAACAATCAGGGAAATACAAATCAAAACTAGACCGAGATTTCATCTCATTCCAGTTAGAATAACCATCATCAAGAATACAATTAATAATAAATGCTGGTGAGGATGTGAGAAAAAGGTACATTCATACATTGTTGGTAAGACTGCAAATTTATACAACCACTTTGGAAAGCAGTATGAAGAGTCCTCAAAAGACCAGAACTGCCACCATCTGTCCCACTCCTTAATATTTACCCAAAAGAACTAAAATCAGCATACCATAGTGATACAACCACATYAATGTTTATAGCAGTGCAATACAGCAGACAAATTATGGAACCAGCCCACCAACAGATGAATGGATAAGAAAATATGGTACATGTACACAGTGCAATTTAACACAGCCATGAAGAAGAATGAAATTATGACATTTTCTGGTAAATGGATGGAACTGGAGAACATCATAYTAAATAAAATAGGCCAGACTCAGGAAGTCAGAGACTGAATTTTTTCTCTCATACGCAGAATTTAGATGGGATAAAAAAAAAACACAAAACACCACAAGGGGGGTAAGGGTCCCATGAAAATAGAAGGTAGATTAGTGGAGTAGAGAAAAGAATTGAGGTGAAGGAAGGAGTGATGGGAAATAAAGGGAAGAAGTGTGCAATGAAATTCACCAAATTATGCTATACACAAACGAATATACTACGGTGATTCCACTTTATGTGTATCTATAAAGCACCAATTAAAAATAATAAACAGAAGGAAGACCAGCAAAGGAAGGTGAACAGGAGGAGGGAAGAGAAGAAGGAAAGAGGAAGCACTAGGGATTTAAATGAAGCAAATGATATTCCATGTGTGTATGAACTGTCAAAATGAACCCACTATTATATATGTAACTACGACGCACTATCATAAAAGAGTTCAGTCAGATGTGACAAGTTAGTTTCACATATTTTATAAAAAGAATCGCTCATTATAAAATTTTAAATTGATTAGCTAACAGAAGCTATCAGAAAAACTTAAAGACAAATAATCAATAATTAGCCTATGGATTATTCATACATACATGTAAGTTTCACATATTTTATAAAAAGAATCGCTCATTATAAAATTTTAAATTGATTAGCTAACAGAAGCTATCAGAAAAACTTAAAGACAAATAATCAATAATTAGCCTATGGATTATTCATACATACATGTTGCTACTTAATTCTGGCCTACCAACAGACTTTCTAGGTATGCAAGTACTACGTAGTCAGTTTTAGCCAGTTTGAATCAGCAGTGCCTATGATTTGCAGCTAAAACATCTAGCAAAATCCTTGTATACGCTTTGGATACAAGTTCACATATATTTTGAAGGATACATTTTTCAGAGAGAAATGTTAAAGATATTAATATAAGTAAGTGCCCAAAGAGGTAGTCCTCATGTGACTTACCCCCTAAATTTTTTCTTCTGTCTCCCCAGTCACAGTGCAGGATCTTTCATGGTCATCTTCACCTTCAAGCAAACTTAGTACCGATGCTGCCTCAGTGACATAAGCCCCCCAACCCAACCCACCCCCCCGCCGCCACCACCACTACTAAGGCCTTTGCATGTAAGGTCATGTATGTAGTATGTTTGCATACAAGTTCATATATATTTGTAGGGCACATTTTCAAAGAGGGAATGTTAGATAGTTTCTTAAGTGCTAAAGTAATCTCTTGGTGTTTAGTTTCCCCAAGAATTTCTGAGCTAGTGTTTCATTGCACTGTCACTCCATATTGACATCTACCAATTTAACAAGTTTGAAGGAGGAACTCTTAACAAAAAATTTTGCGGAGACACTGGGGATTTAACCTAGGGGTGCTTTACCATTGAGCTACACCCCCAGTCCTTTTACTTTTTATTTTGAGATAGAGTGTTGCTAAGTTGCTTATGGCCTCCCGAAGTTGCTGAGTGAGGCTAGCTAGCCTTCTGAGTTGCAGGAATTGCAGGAATGTTCCACCAAACCCAGCATGTATCAATTTCTGATTTTTGGTTTKTGTTGTAAATATCACACATTCTTTTTTGCCCATTTTTCTATTAACTACTATATTTTCCCTCTTGTTTTGCAAATTTTTTAAATTTAGAATCAGTTCATAGAACTGCCTTTATAAATGTTTCCCCCAGTCTTTGGATCTGGTTTGGTG